TGTTTTGGATGTTTACATGTTTTGTGATGTCTGTATTGTTGGATTGTCGTTGACGGTAGGTATTTTCTCCCCCCCCCCCACCTTTTCACCCGTACAGCCCTTATCCCTTTAATTACCTAATGGGCTCGTTTTTGTTTATATTACATTACATGTCCCACTCCTTTCGCCCTTGTGTCCGCTCCGGGTTTCTGTTTGGTGCCTTCTGGGTGTCCTACTTGGGTGTGTCCGGGGGCATAGTCCTGTGAACGTTGCTTTTGCCTTGTTGATCTTTATTCTTGTTATTTTTTTAATTGCTTTACCAATGAATCCTTAATCTATGTTTCATTTTGGTTATACCAAAGTGTTAAAAGATCATATATTTGGTTGTCAAACAAATACGTTCGGCCATAGCATACAATTAAATTGTGTTGACATGGAGAAAAACGTAATCCCCAGAAAACGTCCCATTATCTTTCAGTCTCGATTCGATTGAGTCTGTTCATGAACGGTACTGTCCAAAGTCCATGTGGATACGCTGCAGACATAATATACAAATAAGTTGATATTTAAAAGACTGGTGTAAATTAAGTTCACCTAGATTATAACATTATTGTCTGTTTTTCAAGGTCGATTTTACTTGAATATATGAACGTTGAAATATATAAAATACCGGGTCTACAATGAGCTAGGCATTGTTCTTGTACTTTAGTGTTTCTCACTGTCATAATTTAAACTGAAATGTATAAAGCAAAGATTTAATTGCAATTGAGTAACAAACGTAAATGTGTTTTAAAGGCATATTAAGCCTCAGAGAAAGTAAAACCCCGTATTTTATAATGTCGTAATAATGGATTTAGAACAAATAAGATGCTGCTTATCACCAGATAAAAATAGTGCTTATTGTGAAATAATTTGTTACAAGGTTGCAAAGTATTAACAAAGTTGTTTGTTTTTTTATTTTCATCCTAAATTACTAAAGGTGTACTAATTGCAACAAAAACAAAAAAATGAAGAAAAGGATTGTTCAAATGAGTTACTTGTTGGAAATTATAGAAAGACAACAAAAATAAAACAGTTTTAAAAAGAGCATTTAGGCTTAATAATCACAACATATTATCGCAATTAGATTAAAATTGCCAGTTCATGGCATTAAATCAAAAAATGTTTGATATGCCTATTCATGTTAATATTGTTAAGTTAAAAGCAAAATGGTGTATACTAATATGAAAAACAATCAAACAATAATCTTATATCAAATCAGATAAGGGTATATATCTTGCCAAGTGTGAACATTTCAATGAGGATTATATCTTTATCTTTATTTATTTAATGATGGTTCAACAAGGTAAGTTATGTCATACTCGAGATAGATAGTCAATCTGTATCACCATTTTCAACATTTTTGTAATATCTAAATAATAAAAACCTTGATACAATGCATTATTTACGGAATGCCGTTAGGGCCATCGCCTATGAATGTGTTGATCTAAAACGCAATAGTCGATAGTACGATGGTGAAAACGCGAAATCACGAAACTACGATGGTGAAAACGCGAAAGCACGATGATGAAAACGCGATAGTACGATGATGAAAACGCGACAGTACGATACTACGATGTTTTCATCATCGCACTGTCGAGTATCGCGTTTCAGATCAAACCATTCATAGGTGATGGCCCTAACGGCATTCCGGAATGCCGTTAGGGCCATCGCCTATGAATGTGTTAATCTGAAACGCGATAGTCGATAGTACGATGGTGAAAACACGAAATCACGAAACTACGATGGTGAAAACGCGATAGTACGATGATGAAAACGCGATAGTACGATGATGAAAACGCGATAGTACGATGATGAAAACACGACAGTACGATGGTGAAAACGCGATACTACGATGATGAAAACACGACAGTACGATGATGAAAACGCGATAGTACGATGGTGAAAACGCGATAGTACGATGGTGAAAACGCGATAGTACGATGATAAAAACACGACAGTACGATGATGAAAACGCGAAATCACGAAACTATGATGGTGAAAACGCGACAGTACGATGGTGAAAACACGATAGTTTATCGCGCTTTCATCATCTTAGTATCGTACTGTCGCGTTTCCATCATCGTACTTTCGCGTTTTCATCATCGTGGTTTCGCGTTTTCACTATCGTAGTTTCGTGAGTTCGCGTTTTCACCATCGTACTATCGACTATCGCGTTTCAGATCAACACATTCATAGGCAATGGCCCTAACAGCATTCCGTAATTATTTGCTTATACGTTTTCATTTTGAAATTAGTATCTCCCTGTCGTGTGGATACGTAATATACCGATCTTCTATTTTTTTTAGTAAGCCCTAACAAACTTTTGTGAAAATTTGGAAACGTTTTCGACTTAACTTACAGTAACTTTGATGACAATTTTGCTAGAGGTATTAAACATAAAAAGATACATGTATGTTTATTGTACTGTATATGAAATAAATAAAAAATGGAAAATGTATATGTCGCTCTAGTCCATGTTTTAAATGTTGCAGACTCGGTGGTTTGATTGAGTCAGTTAATGACCAACAATGGTATCTATGCACCATACCACCGCCTTAATGAAAACTAATAGAAATAAGAATCTGAAATCATCAGCATATGTTTTGAAAAGTCTTTGAAACACAGTATCCATCTAGGGCAGAATATCTATCTACGTTCAATTTCAATGGAAAGTTAGCATATCATCTACATACATATCCATTTGTGAAATGACAATAAAGGTATTTTTCGGAAAATTCTGTCCGAATAAATATGAAATTAATTTTAGAATTTAGATTTTAGACTTTCTACTGCGAATATACATATATTATTCGTTATAGATTTTAACCCAAATACAAAATTATCTCTGCAACATTTCACAACAAGCTACCAATTTTACCGTAATTGATGAAAAAAACGTCTATAGCTTTTTAACCTTCTCGATACTATTTTATTTTAGTTATGTTACAAAGTCGAATTTACAATTTTTAACAAACATAGTATTTGTTAATAAAAATGTCAATATTGGTATGAGAAGTCGGGAACGCGACATTTAATGAACGCTACCCTCGTTTATTCTAAAGTTTTAGTCATTAAACCCAGATTCATTCTGTTAACATATAAATAATACATAGATTTGTGGCTAACAGTAAGAATATCATCCTGAGGAAAATACTGTTATCCAAGACGTTAGCTGAGGGCTAAATGTGATAATATCGTGTATATAACGAGCCGAAACAGAGAAATAACTTCATACAGAACTAAGTGTATGTAAACGCATAGCCCGAAAATGGGGCTCTCACTTATATTTACATTTTTGTTGGTGACGGGGACTTTTGCCAGTAAGTGCAATTTCTTACATTTTAACATATTCAGTTTCATATAACAAATTGTTTCGTTTATACTAAAGTTGTAGTCATTAAACCCCAACATGCAGCCACATAGGACTGGAACTTGAAAGGCAGCTAGTGAGACAACGAAAATGAACGGGGTAAAACACAACGTGTGTGGTGGGAAGAGATGGTACTTAAACTGTAGGAGATGTAGGAGATGTTTAATCAATTCATTAGCAAAAGGACACGCTGTAAACTAACTATCTTACAGAAAAAACTAACAATCATGTTTGGATCTATAAGAGTAGTGTAGAAATAGGTCATAATGTGATAACATTGAAATGAATCGAAAAAAAAGTAAATTTTAGAATAAATACGACAGTGATGCTGACATGGTCAAATGTATGGACAATTGCTGGACTTTGTATCAATAGATATGAGTTTGATAGAAAGATAAATGTGATAATATCGTGTATATAACGAGCCGAAACAGAGAAATAACTTCATACAGAACTAAGTGTATGTGAACGCATAGCCCGAAAATGGGGCTCTCACTTATATTTACATTTTTGTTGGTGACGGGGACTTTTGCAAGTAAGTGCAATTTCTTAGATTTTAACATATTCAGTTTCATATAACAAATTGTTTCGTTTATTCTAAAGTTGTAGTCATTAAACCCCGATTCATTCTGTTAACATTCATGGACAAAATATAAATAACACATAGATTTGTGGCTAACAGTAAGAATATCATCCCGAGGAAAATACTGTTATCCAAGACATTAGCCGAGGGAAAAATTATTTTACGAGGGATGATATTTTTACTGTTACTCACAAACTTATGTGTGATTATTTTATTACCCCGAACAAATACTGTAATGATCTGAAAATTTCAACTTAATCTAACTGTAACACAATTGAATCAAGAGTTAAAATAACAAGTTGTAAGTGTAAGATAAGTTATTTTTACTTTTATTCTTTAAGCAATATTGATATCCCTCAGACAATCTTGTTAACCACACCTGTCATGTTTCACTGCTTGAATTCGTTCAAAATGTTTTTGTTTCATGCGTTAATCGTCTGTCTGTTCCATTTTGACACATTTTTATTCCCATGCAATAACTTCCGGTGAAAACGGATTTTACTTTTTAACTGACTTTTCAACTAAATATCAGACGCGAAAAGTATTTCAGGGTGTAAACAACTAAATTTTCTGGGTAAGATAGTCACTCTGGTTATGGCTCTTCGAAGTGAACTTCGAAAAATAAAAGGCTGAATCGAGAGAAAAATCTTCTAGAAAATAAACCATGTGACCAGATATCTTAATGAAAAGTATTGTTACCTATGTAACAGTACAAATTTCTTAGTCTCGTGGTACACTTTCATAAACCCAGTGGCCTATGGGAAATTAACATTACAAAAAGTGAGGGGTAATAATGAAATTTAATGTAATGACAATAAATCATTTTAAAAACTTAGAATAGTACAGAAAAATATGCTTACAAAAATATACTTACATTACTTTTTAAAATTTTAGATTATCCCAACGCATTTTAAACTACGCTATTCTTTAACTGTCATATCTAAAACCACATAAACATTTAAGATTAGATAGTATGTCATGTTTTTCGTTCTTAACCTCTGATAACATGTATATGTATCAAGATATTTGAATATAATTATGTAGATAAATGATTCAGTGCTATAGGGTAATTATTATTTCGGTTTTATTATTTCTAGGTCCTATACAAGAAGTAGGCAGCACAAATCAATGTGCGAATCAATGTACAGGTATGTTCATCACATAAGAAATATCATTAAAACAACGTATTTGACAAAACCAAGCTGATTGTATTCGTATTATGAAAAGTAGATAAACATAAAAGTTAAGTAAATGGTGTGTTTCTGGAAAACAGTCTTAAAATGTGAAAAGCAAACAACAAGAATATAAAATATATGACTTGTGGGTGATTAATATGCAAAATACATCTCAAATATGCATGTAAAATACGCCAGATTGTAACTAAAACAAAACTTTGTCTATCATAATTTCTTGACCTTTTTCTTTAAAATTAGTGACGAGTCAATTTAGGTATGAAAGCGGAAAGACATATGAATACAGATATGAAACAGAAATAAGAACAGCGATACAAGGTGCTTCGGAAGATCAAGCCGGTGTTGACATGTCAGCAAAGGTGTACATCGATTTCCTCTCCAAGTGCGAAATGGTCATCCGGGTATGTTGGCATTTACTGAGACTGATACATTGTAACCAAATATATTTTTACCTATTGTGGTCATAAAAAAGCATGACACTGTCAAATTACATTTATTATGTACGTATGGTCTTACATTACAAACAATCTAATATTTTAAACTAAATTATCGGATAATGCATTTAATTTGTTAAAAGAACATTCAAATTACTTTAAGATGAGTGACGTCAAAATGTTAGAGCATGACCCAGAGACGTCAACAATGAAACCAATGACCACAGAGCTCATTTCTGAACTTGAAAGAAATCCATTGATAGTCTCTTTCCAAGATGGTAAAATCGAGGAGTTGTGTCTGTCAAAACCAGAATCCGACAAGATCTTAAACATCAAGAGGGGTATTCTGTCCCTTATCCAGAACAATATGGATGACATCAACAAAGACCAAACAGTCACCGAAGTAAGTCTCAAATCAATTCCTTATTTCTTCTATACAGAATGGCTTCTTTATTTTTTTGTTGTCTATTTGGTTATGTTTTTTTATTTTAAAGAAAAAAATGTAGAT